ATTGATTCAAGAATTCTTTGAAGTGCTGGTTTTGTGGACATGTATTCTTTCAGGCATTTCATGTCATGGAAAATTTTTCTTTCCCCCTCAACTATAATAGCCATTTTTGCTGGGTAAAGTATTCTGGGCTGGTATCTATTGTCATGTAGAACTGGAAATACCTTGGTCCAAGCTCTTCTGGTGTTCGTAGTTTGCATTTATGTCAGCTGTAATTCTTATGGGCTTTCCTTTGTCTGTGACTTGTTTTTCTTTTGCTGCTTTCAGTATTATCTCTTTCTTCTGTACATTTAGTGTTTTTACTGTGATATGTTGTGGGGAGTTTCTTTTCTGATCCTGTCTATTTGGTGTTCTACGTGCTTCCTGTATTTGTATGGGGATGTCTTTCCTTAATTTCGGGAAATTCTCTTCTACAATCCTGTTTAAATCTGGTCAGCACCATTAACCTGAAATTCTTCTCCTTCCTCTACTCCTATGATTTGTAGATTTGGACTTTTCATGGTGTCCCACATCTCTTGCATGTTCCATTCCTGTGTTTTTAAAATTTTTCCATAATTTTTGCTTGAGTGATCCAGTTCTTCAACTTTATCCTTCAGTGTTGATATACTATTTTCCATTTCATTCTTTCTAGCTGGTGAAGCTTTCCCCTGTTGTTTCAAGTTGACTTATTGAGTTTTACACTTCCTTCTTCATTTCTGCCCGAGTTTTCTTCAATGTTTCTATCTCTTTTGTGAATTCATTCAGAAGTTTATCCCTATCTCCTTTTAATTCTTTGATTTGCTTGTTCATGTGTTCTTTAAATTCGTTGAATTCCTTGATCATGTTTATGATTGTTCTTTTAAATTCAATGTCCTGGGTTATCTCTAGGGTGTTCTCCTTGTAGAACTCCACTACAGGATTGGTGGAGTTTGATGAGGACATAGTGTTTTGGCTTTCCATGTTATTATTCTTTCGTTGTGATTTTGGCATGTGAATTTCTTTTGTTGTTTCTGATTCTGATATGAGAATTAAGTTGAAGTATGCTTCTGTTTGTATTATCCAGGTGCTTAGATCTTTTCTTTATTGCTTATATAAAGCTGGTTGGTACAAGGTTCAGTTTCTCTCAGGTTTAATTTGGAGGGAACTGATTGCTTCAGATCAGCTATTCAGGAGTACCCACAAAAGCCCAATTCAGGTTCCAGTCTGGCACACCCAGGCTTCCTTCACCATGCGGAGGCAAGATCCTCTCAGATTGTCTGCTAGGGTCTCAGCCTTAGCCTACTGAAGCCAGATCTGCCCTAGGGCCTTAGGAGGGGCCTCACAAAATCCCAGGTAGGGGGATGGGTATGGCACAATTAGGGGAAGCTCACCACCTCATGGAGGCAGGATCTGGGGGCTCTCAGGCAGTCCCCTGCTTTCTCAGCCCCTCTGTCAGAGAGAGGCCAGAGGGAGGCCAGAACTCAGCACTCTCGGGTGGTCTGCCGAGATCCAGTAATTTTCATTTTATAAAATCTGTAAAAGGCATGTTCGCTGGGCCCTCCCACTGTGGAGGATTTTGTTTTGCACTGTGAATACATCCCAAGTTGCTTGAGCCTTACAATCCTTCCATCAACACTAATCCAAAATATCAGATATCTCCAGCTTCAGTAGGCCATCTTTGATAAATACCTTAGCTAACCAATCAAATAAACTTTTAACACCTTTTTTGTCTCTTTTTTTAAAAAAAGTTTTTATTTATTATGTTTATGAGTGTAGTGCCTGCATGTAAGTAAGTGCACCCATGTTGTGCAATGCCCAAGGAACACAGAAGAGGCTGTCGGATCCCCTGGAACTAGAGTTATGGACAGTTGTTAGCTGCCATGTGGGTGCTGGCAATTGAACCCAAGTCTTCTGCAAGAACAGTCAATGTTCTTAATCACTGAATCATCTCTCCATGTCCTTTTAACACCTTTTTTAACTGCACGAGCTTACATATTAAACCTAGAATCTCCAGTCAGGGGGCCCATGTCAATAAACTCAGCCTGATCTATTTTATGTCCCTTCCACCATTATTCCATACCCTTAAAAATCCATTCCCACACATATTCATTGGACTTCTGCTTGAATGAATTATCAAATTCACCAAGTTCTTTAGTAGTGTTAGTGCACCTCCTCATGGACCACACTTTCTATCTCTCCTCTAGGGGCCTACTTAGCCTTGAGTCTGGTTATAGTCTAGAGGCAGCAATAACTGGGCACTGAGGGACATCAGCTTTGTCTTGCTGAATCGGATTAATTTCCTTAGGCAAGGGTGGGAAGGGTGTGGGAATACATTCTATGCTGAGGGTCAGGAGATTAATGCATCAGGTGAAGTAAATTCCTCTGAGTCTGAGGATTCAAAATCTTCAGCTTCATCACAGTTCTCCCACAAATCTCCATCCCACTGTCAGGATTCCAATATTTCCCCACCATTTCCCTCACCTTTACTGCTGACATTCTTTGAGGCTGGCAATTAAATTTGCATTGTAGGTCAGCTAAACATATAGTAAGGGCTCCAGCTAGATTTTCTGCATCTTTAGCTCTCTGGCTGCTGGAAAGAATATTCTCTTCCAGGGCACACTTAGAAACTTTTAAAGTGTGGATTCGAATCTGGAGCCAGTTAATTTTATCATTGAGCTCATTGTTTTCCTCCATCACTTTATCCAGAGATGACAGAAGTAACCAACCATCATCATTATTTTCCTTATTTTTTCACAAATTCTAAAAAGTTTTATGTATAGATTCAGTAAATTTCTTGATCCTCACAAGAGGTGAGTTAGAAGACTCGAATGCGTTTATCTTCATAATTGCCTCAAATAGTCTACACCATGGATTTTCAGTGTTCTCCATGCTACCTGAAGACTCTGAGTTGGAGATTCTGCTCCAGATACCAACAAGCCCATTAAGGAAATTTATCTTTTCAATTCTGTTTCTCTAGAACCACTCTAGAACCACTCTTGGTACCACAATCTGTATGTCACGTTTGTCTAAATAAACAGAACGAGTATCATGAATATATATAGTCATATCAATAGTCCCAATCTAGCACTGAAGGTCTGATGAATTACAAATGTTAAGCTAATCTTCAGTCTACAGCAGCAAGATGAACTCACCGAGAGTGAAGGCAAGCAGCAAAAAGCAAGCGCTCACTTCTGACATGGCCTTTTATACAGGCTGCCATCCGAAGGTAACACCCACATTTAGGGTGTGTCTTCCAGCTTCAGATGATCCAATCAATGTCTTTCTCATTTCAGTTAATCCCAGATCCAGTCAAGTTGACACCCAGGATTAGCCATTACACCATCGTACTGAGGACCAAGCTTCCAATAGACAAGTCCTTTGGGAATGCCCTTAAACCATAACAAGCTGTGACAGAGTACCCAGGGAAAGGCTCTCCTCCTTCCCAAGATGAAATCTAAACCTTACAGGGAGGGCATACCCATAGCTCATTAATGACAAAAGAATGTCTGTAGTGCCCTATTATCAGAACTTGCTGGAAATCTCCCCTCTTGGGTTCCAGAGAAAGCTCTTCCTGGGGAGGTATTGCACTAGAATTATTTTACTACAAATCAGCTGAGAGGCACATTAGAGTAAGGTGACATTGTACTACAGAATCTTGCTGCTAGTGCGCTGTATGAGATGGGTGCTTCAGAAGCCATATGAGCTGCAGGAGCTAGGTGTTGGCAAAGTCATCTGTGTTGTAGAGGCTGAGCTCATGGAGGAGCCAACCATATCTAACAAGACCTCAGCACCAGGGATACTATTATGTGCAACAGAAGCCAGGTGGTAGGAGATCACAGGAGATGAATGCTAGACAAGCAGTCTTGGTTAGAAGATCCTGAGTCACCCTAGAATCAGGAAGGAAATCCTCCTCTTCCTGCTGTGTCTATCCCATGCTCTCCACTGACAAATCTTAAAACTGTGCCTGCTGGCAAAGATAAAACATATTTAAGACCCACATCCATTTTCTTTGACAAAGAAGGGTGAATTTAGAGCTGTCAGGTAATAAATTGAAAACTGATACACTTACTCCTGTTTTCTAAAGTAAAGCATGTAGAAAATACATAGTAAATGCAACTATTGAATTGGGGGAAATGTTGATAGCTATTTTATTTTCTTTAAGAAGGATTTTTTAAAGAATATATTCACAAGAATATATTCAGAAGGGACCATATATTTGGAAAAGAAAAACAACTGCCTGAAATGTTAGGCACGCTTAAGCTTTGTGCACTAGTTCTTCCTGTTGTAACATTAAACTGTGTCAGATCATATGATATGAGAGGTATGGTGACTGTTTTTTGAATTGATAGTTCATATAACTTACCTAGAGGTATACTGGAAATGTAGCCACTATTGAGGATATACACTTTGAATATGTACACAGGAGCTAAACAGAAAGAAAAACATAGATTTATATCCTTTTTAAGATAAGAATTCTGACACAAATAGGTCCAGTTCATCAAATGAACTCTCATTCAGGTAGGTCATTAAGGAACTGTGTTTCAAATCATTGTTCTGCCACCTACTAGAACATTGTTATCAGTTGTACCATTAATGTTGGCTCACTGTACTGCCCAGTGGGAACTAGGAAAAGAGGAGATTTGTCCACTATCTGAAGGCTTGCCTGGAACAGAATTGTCACTTCTGTTCACACTTCATTGGTGGAAAAAGTGAAACTGCAATTGTAGACCTAACTGCATTCTGTTACTGTGAAAGAAGGGGAGAAGAGATCTTGGTACATGGTTTACAGTGCCCGCTTTATCGGGATTCTGCTCTTTCCCACTTAGCAACCTGGTCTTTCATACATTATATAACTACTCTGTCCCAGTTTTCTCATCTGTAAACTGCAGTTGGTAATCACAAACATTTCATAGGACTCACAGAGTAGAAAGCACTTGGCACAGTGCCTAGTGCATCATAAATGGTATAAATAAATATAAGTGTCCATAAGAATTTTCATTATTGCATTATTGTCATATTGCCTCTTTCATTCATCTGTGTTCATCATGTCTGACTACATGGACCCCTGTCCCCTGCTAATTATTCCTTGTATCATTTTTGCCTTTTCTTTTTAGGTGAGGATACTGGGAAAACTCAACAACAGAGAATTTCTAGAGATGTTTCATTTCACTGTGAGATATTTGATCAATCTACAGGAAAAGATTCAGTGTATTCCATTTTAGAAGAACAGTGGCAAGAGAATGACCAGCTGGAGAGATGTGAGGAAAATCAGATTAACTCCTTAAGTCATCACTTCAATGAACTGATTCAAGACAGAGGCTCTGGATGTCAAAACATTGAAAAAGGAATTCATGTGACTATCAAGCTTGTTCCTCCAATGAAAAAAACTCCATAATCACGACACATTTGGAAAGCATTTGAAGCATACTTTAAACTTATATAATCCTAATAGAAGCACTGCAACAAAGAACCTTGGTAAGACTTTTGGAAACGGTAGCACTTTGACTCATAGCTCTTGTTCTACTAAGAATGAGAATATTAACACAGGAACAAATTCCTGTGAAGATAATCGGTGTGAAAAGCACTTCAGCCAACAACAATCTGTCATGTACCATCAGAAAATTCATACTAAGGAGAAATTTCATGTATATACTGAAGGTGTAAAGGGCTTCACCCAAAAGTTACATCCCTTTGAATATCAGAAAATTCACACTGGATAAAAATCTGAATACCGACTACAAGCAAAAGACTAAAAAGAAGAGGGAGAATCTGGGCATTGCTCTGGAGATTGATGGGCTAGAGGAGAAGGTGTCTTAGTGTTGGAAGGAACTAGAGGCCATGACTTCCCAGATCTACAGGGCAGAACTAAGCCCGAAGACAGGAGGACTCTGGAAAAGGAGAAAACCAGCCTCATGAGCAAAGCCTCCAAGTAGAGAAAGAGCTAAAGCTGCTTCGGCAAGAGAATCAGAAGAACATGCTACTCTCGGTGGCCATCTTCATCCTACTCGCCCTGGTTTATGCCCAGTGGACTATGTAAATCTGCCAGCCTCAGCCATGTGGGTTCCCCTCCACCCCTTCTCAGCAGCCCTTCAAGCTCAAGAGGACCAAGGTGCAGGGCATTTCTCCCTGCTGTTGGCCAGCCCCCATAGCTAGCTTGCTGTGGGTTCTGGAAGGACAAGGTGCTGCCTCCTCCTGTAACTCAGCAGAGCAAGCTCTCCATAAAAAAATCTGAATACCACAAAAATGAGAACATTTTCAGTCAGAAGTAACAAATTGACAAACATGAGGGTGTTCACATAGGAGAGAAACCTTATCTATGTACCCAGTGTGGAAAGATCTTTACCCTCAAGTCAAACCTCATTACTCATGAAAAAATTCATACTGGTCAGAAGCTCTTTAAATGCAGTGAATGTGGAAAAGCCTTCTTCAGAAAATCAGATCTCTTTAGGTATACTAGAATTCACACAGGAGAAAAATCTTATGAATGCAGTGAATGTGGGAAAGGCTTCTTGCAGAATTCAGACCTCAGTAAACTGGAGAGAAACACAATGAATGCAATGAATGTGGGAAGGCCTTTATCCAGAAATCATACATTCATACACATCAGAGAATTCACACTGGAGAAAAGCCTTATGAATGCTGAGACTGTGGGAAATCATTTACCAAGAAGTCACAACTCTGTGTGCATCAAAGAAGTCACACAAGAAAGAAGCCTTATATATGTTCAGAGTGTGGAAAGGTCTTCACTCATAGGACAAATCTCACTACACATCAGAAAACTCATACTGGAGAGAAACCATACATGTGCACTGAATGTGGAAAGGCTTTTACTTATCAGTCCAATCTCATCAAACACCAGAAAACTCATACTGGAAAGAAACCCTATAAATGTAAGGGCTGTGGAAAAGCCTTCATATGGAGGTCACACCTCAAAATCCATCAGAAATCTCATATTGGAGAAAGATACTATGAATGCAAGGAATGTGGGAAAGCCTTTATCCAGAAAGCAAGTGTACATCAAAGAATTCACACAGGAGAGAAACCCTACGTTTGTCCTGAATGTGGGAAGGCCTTTATCCAGAAATCACATTTTATTGCACATCATAAAATTCACACTAGAGAGAAGCCTTATGACTGCAGTGACTGAGGAAAGTGCTTTACTAAGAAGGCAAAGCTTTGTGTGCATCAGAATATTCACAGAGATGTGCTGAATGTGGAAAGGCCTTTATGGATTGGTCAAACTTCATCACACACCAGAAAGTTCATACTAGGGAGAAACTCTATAAATGCGTGACAGTAGAAAAACCTTCACCTGGAAGTCACACCTCAGTATACATGAGGAATCCCATACTGGAGAAAGATGCTATAAACGAAGTAAATGTGGGAAAGCATTCATCCAGAAAACGACACTAAGTGTGAATCAGATAATTCATATAGGAAAGAAACCTTATGCTTGTACTGAATGTCCCAAGGCCTTCACTGACAGATCAAATCTCATTAAGCACCAAAAAATACACAGTGGGAAGAAACAGTATAAAGTCAGTGACAGAAATAGAAACAGTATAAAGTCAGCCTGGAAACTAGAATGGGATCTGCATCAGAAATGTCATAGCTGGAAAGAGGAATGTTTGGTCTTACAATTACTGTACAAGGGAAGTGGATATGAAAGACTGGCTTGAGTCAATGAGAAATATAAGTCTCAATCTTGCCACAGTTGAGATGCAGTTATACACACATAGGGAAACCCTTTATGTTTTGCAGTGCTGGGGATAGAGCCCAGGGCCTTATGTGCTAAGGAAGCACTCTACCGCTGAGCTACACTTTAGCCCTAGGGAGACTATTTAGATAGAGCAATGGAGCTCTACTCATGTTTGGTTACATGACTAACACAGGATATCTCAAGCTCCTAAGAATGATAGAAATAAAGATCCAAGGAGATGACTTGACATCTTTTACATTTTACTTTTTGAAGCAAAATACTTATAAATTTAGTACTGATTAGTTTTTCATACATTGGGACATAAACATACTCAATATTGGCCATCTTTTCAGACTTATAGTATGGGAAGAAGAGCTTTAAACACTTGCACAGCACTGAAGTCAAGGTCAGAAGCCTATTTGGGAATATAGATCTCTGAGCAAAATCAGTTTTGTATTAAATGTCAATGATCAGCATTGACATTTAATACAAAAGATTACAATGAAGTGTTCTCTGAGAACTCACTTTTAAAAAGTGAAACAATTTTTTTGGTCTTTTGGAAACAGGGTCTTCTTGTAGCTCTAGCTTGCCTGGAACTCTTTATGTAGGCCAGGCTGACCTTGAACTCAGAGATCACCATGCCTGGAGTGAAATAAAATTTTAAACTTACAACATGACGTAAGCTGGGTGTGGTGCCACACAACTATAATCCCAACATTGGAAGGTAGAGGCAGAAGAATACAGAGTTCAATGTCACCCTCAGTTATACAGTGAGTTTAAGACAGTCAGGGCTCCATGAGAACCTGCATAAAAGAATTGATTTTATGAACGGGTAGATATAGAAATAGACAGGTTGTGTTACAGGAATAAAGTCACCAAGGGCTACAAACACCAGAAGGTGGCAAGTGTTCCTTAATGCCCTACTGTAACAGCAGGTAATTTACAGTATACATACCTTCCAACCTGGGCTCCATATCTATCATTTGTGTAAACACAGACTCCCTGTCCCCTTAGGAACTGGTCTTAAGACAATAGGACTTATCTGTAGCACTGTGGATTTTCTGTCTTACCACTAACACCTCTATAGCCCTTAGAATTTGTGTTTGAAAAAGAATCATTGAGAAACTAGATTTCAACAAATAAAATTTTCTTTCAAATTTGTTAAAATACATTCACTTTTGACATGTGAATTTAGGGTGGTTTTATGTAGATTGCTATGAGATGAAGTCATGCTGCATTGTACTTAGTCTAAGGTATTATAGTTGAATAACTGGAAGGTTTCTCTAGAAATAGTTGCTGCTTCAATAATGGATATATATATTTTTTTCTTAAACATTTTTCACAGTATTCATAAGAAAAAAGGCTTTCTAGTATATAATTTTATCTTACTGTGTTTTAAAATCTTCTGTGTGTACATGTGGTGCTGCGGATGGACCCTAAGGCCTTTTACTTGCTAGGTAAACACCTTACCACTGAATTTCACCCCCAGCACCAAAACATTTCATTAATGCATAGGGCATACAGAAAATGCACATACCAAAAGCACCTAGTTTAACATTCTTGCGAACTGAACATACTCAGACCCCAAAACAGAACATGGCCAGCATCCCAGAATGTCCTCCATGCACTCCAGGACTTATATATACATTAAGGGAAAATACTGCCCTGACTTTAACAGCATGGATTATTTTGCCTGCCCTATGCATCATGTAAATAGAGTGAGGTCTAGTTCATAAAATGAAATGATTTAGTATCTTTTATCATTCACATTTTGAATGAGATTCACTAATGTCACATGTGAATAAATAAATCATTATCCCATTTTATGTATAGACATGTTTATCCATTCTACTTTGATAAACACTTAGGTTGTTTGCAACTTGGAACAGCACTGCTATGTATGGTGATTACAGTGTATCCTTTTGTTCAGCTTTACACGATAAGTTTAACAGAATGACTGTATTAATATACACATCCACTAACACAGTGAGCTTTATGTAGACTTTGTATTTTCTATCATTACTTTTTGGGGGGACAGAGGAGGCAGGGTCTTGTGGCCGACCTTCAACTTGCTATATACCTGAGGATGACCTTGAACTTCTGAACCTCCTGCTTCCACTTCCTGAGTGCTGGGATTATAAGTATGTACCATCATGATGGGTTTATGTAGTGCTGAAGGTCAAATCTAGGGTTTTATGTATGCTAGGCAAGCATGCCATCAACTGAGCTACAGCCCCAGCCATCTTTTTTATTGTAACTATGATGGTGTATATGTAATACCATCAGTGCTTCTTAAGTTTTATTTTCTTGTTCTCCAAACCACTGTAGCCTCTCCTCAGGCAGACTAGTTATGTCTGAGACTCAAGACCCAGACATGTTACTCATATGGTTATGCTGTTTTTACATTCCCACCATATGTATAAAAGGCTTTCGCTTACCACATCCTTATCAATTCTTGTTTTTATCAGTCATTTTTTTTTCTTGCAGGGCTGGGAATGAAACCCAGGGCCTGGTACATGCTATGTAAGTGCTAAACCACTCAACTATACCTCTAGCTGTTGTCATTCTCTTACTGTAGCTATTCTAGTACATACAAAGTGATACTGTAATGTTGATTTACATTGTCCTGAGAATGGTGATCATCTTTTGAACTTCTTTGGTAAATGTCTGTTCAAATATTTTCCCTATTATTTTTCTTGATTTCTCATTGTTGAAAACTAAGATGTATTTATATAGTCTCAATGTTAAGTCTAATACCAACCCATTATCCTTGCAAAAATGTTTCTGTTTCTGGGTTTTATTTTCATTCTCTTAAGTGTTTTGTAGATCAGAACTGCTTATTCTGACTAAGTCTGATCTTTTTATTTGTTCTTTTATGAGCTACAGTTTTGGTGGTGTATCTAAGAAATCTTTGTCTAATCAAAGATCACAATGACTTTTTTCTTCTGTTTTTGAGAAGTTTAGAGCTTAAGGTTCTCTATTTATGTCTATGGTCCATTTTGAGTTAAATTTTAATATGCTGAGAAGTATGGACCTGAACAGAGAGATCCAAAGTTCTTTTTTTGACTATTTGTTTCAATAGCATGTATTTAAAATGACTGTTCTTTCTCCCATTTTGCCTTTTCTGCAAAATTCCTTGTTCTAAGCTAGTCATGGTGTCAGATGTCTAAAATCCCAGCTCTAAAGAGGCTGAAGCGGGAGGAACATGAGTTTTGAGGCCATCCTGGACTATAATACAGCAAGACCCTTGTCCAGAGATAGAACTTCTAGAATGATGGAGTATGGACCTCATTACATCAAATACCTGCCCCCAAAACAACTAAAAACCTGTGTAAATATTTGCCAAAAACAAGCATTTTAAGACAATGGAAATTCACCAAAGGCACAACTAATTGGAAAGTGTTTATTGATGAGAAAACTAACCTTGGTAAGAATCATTGGGTCTGTGGCACTTGGAGTTCCTTCCATTCTCAGTGTCTGTGGCATGCTAGCTGTTAACATTCCATCTCCTCAACAACAGTTTAAGGGGAAAATGTTTATTTTGGGTCACTGTCTCAGAACATGGTTGCTTGTACTGTGTTGGGGCCTGTGGTGAAACAGTACATCACGGTGGCAGGAGTGTATGGTAGAGGAGGCTGCTTACCTCATGGCAGCTAGGAAGCAAAGAGAAGGAGGCTGGGGACCCAATATCTTTTAAAGGCATACCTATAATAGTCTAAATTCTTTCCACTAGTCCCCATGTCCTAAACGTTCTGCCATCTCCCAATATCACTGCAAGCCTAGCACATGGGCCACAAGCCCTCAACATGGGCCTTAGGGACATGTTTAAGATGGAAATCAAAGCCATGAGGAAGCTCATGAAGCCTCAGTGAAACTGGAGGGAGCTGACTTGACTTGGAGTGCCATAGAAAAGTGTTGTGTCTTGGGGTATTGTCAAAGACAATATTATTAGCAAGTATCTGGAGAAGGCCAACATTACAGCTTCCTAAGACTGCAAAGTTGGGAAAGTAAAGGACGAGATCAAACAAACAAACAAACAAACAAACAAGCAAAAACAAAACAAAAACAGAAAATGAGATAAGCAATACTGAGCATTGATAAGTTCCCCTATGTCTATGGAGATGTAGAAGGCTTTATGCATAATCACAAATATGTTGGAGACAGCATGTTACTGACTCACCCAATGATGACTATCAGCATAAACATATAACAGATATGCTAAAACTTGCATTATCCCTTAGTGGAATACATACTGATTTGAGAAACATCGGCAACAACGTTTGACCAATAATTGACTGACACTAAACTATGTTGGCCCTATGATTCCAAGAAAGCTACCTAGAATTCAAAAAGAGACATTAATAGCAGCACTTACTCAAGGGATTCTAAATCTTACAACTTAGTTCATAAAATCCTTAAGCAAATACACTGCAGAAATCCTAAAGCAATAGCCACGAAGGATCATAATGCAGACCTGGTAAAATACATTCCCTATAACGTCAAGTTTTTAACAATTGAAAGACAAGTAAAACAAATGACATGCAGAAATGAATTTGTGCTCTAGGGAAACTTTCTCCATAAATGCCAAATGTTGCATTTAATAGATTAAAGGTTTCAAACAAGCTATTATAAATTTGTTCAAAGAACCAAAGAAAACCAAGTAGGATGATAATAAATGAACAAATAGTATAACGGGGTTAAGCATGTTTTACAAGGCAAAAATGGTAAAATGGTAATTCTGGCGATGAAAAGTACCATATATGATAAAAATTTTACAAGAGATTGACAGCAGATTTGAGCAAGCAGAGAAAGGAACCACCAGCCTTGAGACGATCCAAGCTAAAGAACAGAAAGTGAAAAAAATGAGAAAAAGAATCTCCGACACTTAAAGGCACCATCAGTCATGCTGACATACACGTAAAAGAAAGGGAACCAAATAAATTTGAGAAAACAATGCCAAAAACCATTGTGAAGAATGAA